AAGAGAGAGAGAGAGAGAGAGAGAGAGAGAGAGGAAAGAGAGAGAGAGAGAGAGAAAGTGCATTGACGTTAATCTCGCTCCGTTCGCAGACACCGGGCCAGGCGATCGCACAGTGCTGGTGACTTCGGTGATCAATTGTCGCGGTGGCGCGTACTGGCGCAGGACGATCGTCGTCCGCAAGGAGAGTGCGGAGGCGTTTTCATGGCGCGCGGCGACGCGGCGGCGGGGACAGTGCGTGCGCCCTCAACATCGAAGTACGAGGCAGAGCGAGCGACGTGAGAGGTCTGTGCAAGAGCGAGTGAACGTGATACGGGGAGCTCGACGGCACGTCGTCGGCCAGCGAACGAACAGGAGCATCGGCCGATTAAACACGACGACGACGACGACGACGACGACAGCGACAGCGACGGCGGCGGCGCATACACACGCACGCACCCGAGTGCGTCACCGCCCATATGTGATGTGTTCCGTGTGTGCGAGCGAATGAGTAATCATGTACTGTCAAGACAAGGGTTCGACCGCCTCGAAGAGCAAAGAGGGTAAGTTTGACGCGGATGCGTGCTTTGACGTGTCTCCTCTCCCTTCGCGCTCTCGACGTTCCGGCTCGCCGTTTCTTATCGGCCTTTCGGTGCCGCTTTTGTGCGCGCATGTGAAAGACGTGAGACAGAGAGAGAGGAGGAGAAGAAAGAAAGAACGTGCGAGCGAGTGCGAGAGAGAAAGAGAATGAATGAGTGGTAAAGGGAGTTCCGTTCCGGGATAGCGTGCGAATGCGAGAAGGACGGAATGACAACGAACGGCAGTGCGACGGAAACGGGCACGGGGAGTAAGCGGAGGGAGAGAGAAAGATAAAGAGTGCGTGTAGTATCATTTCTCATCGACTGGCAGGAGAGGAAGAGGGACGGAAGAAGCTCCGGTATATATTTCGTGCGAGAGAAACTGCTGATCTCGCGCGCGCGCGCGCGAGATTCGCAGACGCTTTTCTCACCCGGCGCGACGCGATATCGCGCGACACGATTTGCACGAATTCCCAATCAACCGTGGGAGAGAAAGCACGTCGGGACGTGCGCGTTTATCGCTTCGAAACGGACGAAATAAAAAAGGAAAAAAAAAAACGGGTTTCGCGCGAGATCAATCGGCTCGCTGAATCATACGAGTGTGACGCGATCTTTTGTGCAACCGGAAAACAGACGTAATCAGCTGGCACTCGAAAACTTATTTCGCGACTCGCCTGTCGTCAATCGACGTATGACACTAATGTTTATTAGTTTATTGACCCGCGCCGTAACTCTGTATGCACACTCTGTGTGCATAATTGGCTGTTTGTACTTGTGTGGGTGTGTGTATGGTGCGTATGTGACTTTGTGGCGTGCGTGTGTATCATATACATATGACACTTTCAAAGTTCTAATTGCATTGGGTGAGTGGCCCCGTGAGTTTGCTTTGTTACGTGTTTCAAGAAAAAACTGGCAATTAGCTGGCGCAAATGAATTGATGCGATGCATATTTGCATGTGCAATAAAGAATACATTCAATACTTTCATACCTTCTTGACATTTTGCATAATTTATGTTCAGAATTGATTAAATTATTTTTTTTCTTAAACCAAGTTCGATTTGAATCGTAGAAATCTCTTATAATCTTGAAACAAATAATGTATACATATCTATGAATCATAATGTAACATTGTGTAATATTAGCTTATTAGATGTCATTGTGTTTTGACAATTGTAACGGGAGCTGTGCAACTTTATCTATATCTGTATCTTATCTCTATATCAGTGCATTACTCATATAGATTGACTCAGTTCATATGAATGCTTTACTTTTACTTAAAAGCCATTTGACAATTTTATCAAAATTCTTTCTTAACAATTACATGGAATGTTAAGTTTCTGAAGAGAGAAAAATAAACGGTCACCTGTGCTTTCTTTGTTGCACAATTTTTTACGTACGTCTCGTGGTGTTGTTTGAGAAGAATGTGATACATATATGTCTCTGTCATTATTATTAAGATCCAGGAGCACTGGCATAGCATAGCGTATGACATCATCACACGTGTAATGATCTGTCATATCTAAATTACTCTGATGTTCTTGGCCTTCCATTATGATGTCGCGCCATCTCAACTTACGCTTAACGCTTTGAATTATGGTTTTTTAAACACTGTTTTTTTTTGTTGTACGCAGGGCCTGTGACAATGCGGGAGAAAAAGGGTGGTGCTCTCAGTAGAGTACAAAAATTAAAAAAACGTCTCAGTCATAGTTTTGGACGACTTTGTAAGTATCAAATAATTATTTTCATATATTAAGAAAAAATTAAACTGTATGAGCTACATTAATTAAATAAAATAAATAGAATAAAATAGTACGTTTTCAGTATTTAATAAATTTATTGGTGTTTAATATTTTAAATAATTTTAATAAATACAGAATTAATGTTAAATAAATAATTTTATTAATTTTGCAAATTTTAATTAAATGATATAACGTGTTTATGAATTTGATTAATGGTATAAATTTCTTTTCACGAAAATGTGAAAATATCGCGGCGTTGAATAAAATTTATTAGTGATCTATTATTAATTATTAGATAGAAATTACTATTGCCAAATTAACGTTTTATATTACTTTCTTGTAGCTATATCAAAAGAAGAGGCTGATGATGCAACAACCAGAGGCCAATTGCCATATAATGGCTATTCTGAGGAGTTCCTAGACCGCTTGGAGCCAAATGGCAACATACCTGCGGACAAAGATCGCCGTTATGGTAAGTTTCACAAATTAAAAAATTTTATAAACAATATGACACAGTTTTATGGTTCTTAATGTCATTTGATATATGTGTAAATATATATCTTAATCTTTTTTTAAGTAAAATAACAAAAAGAAACTAATTTTTTATTTTTTAGCATGAAGTATAAATTGAATTATTTAATTATTATTATTTTATAAAGTTGCTTGTTGGCTAATTTCATTGCGCATATAAATATTATATGCGCTTGCTAGAAACATTCTGCTGGAAAAATTTTCAACAAAATATATATTATAATCTATGCAAAATAAGTATTTGTAAAATTTTTGTAGTCCATAATTTCTGTTGTTACATTTTCAAAATGCTTTAAGATTGGAAATTGAACTGTCATAGAATGGACGGGTGTGGGCGACCATGAGAGAGTGCATCGACAGCTTTCGGTTTCTAGCGATTCCAAGCTTCTCGATGAAGATATACGGGAAGAAGCTAGGGTAATTCTGCGGCCGCGGCGTCCGCCGCGACCAAAGTCAGAAGCTTTCCTCGGACCAGATCCACCACCTAGGAGAACTAAAAGATTTTCCGCCTTTGGGGTAATATATTATACACATAAACCCATTTCTCTGTTTATTTTCCAAAAAAAATGTACAAGTTTTTCTGATTTTTTTTTTTTTTTTACTTTTAGGGAGATTCGCCGTTCGGTAAATCCGAAGCTTATATAAAACTGGAGCAATTAGGGGAAGGATCATACGCCACAGTGTTCAAAGGCTACAGCCATCTCACTAATCAGGTGGTGGCTCTTAAAGAAATTAGACTGCAAGAGGAAGAAGGAGCTCCATTTACTGCCATTCGCGAGGCAAGCCTCCTTAAGGAATTAAAACATAGCAATATCGTGACCCTGCACGATATCATTCATACACGCGAGACGCTCACCTTTGTATTCGAATATGTTCACACCGATCTGTCGCAGTATATGGAGAGGTACGGGAGCGGCAACGGGGGACTGGACCCGCGTAACGTCAAATTGTTTCTTTTTCAATTGTTGCGGGGACTCGCGTACTGTCATCGCAGGTAATTGAACGCATGAAATGTTATTAATGCTCCGTGTTTTCGTCTCGATTAATTTCTGTTGATGCACACTCCAGGAGGGTTCTGCACAGAGACGTAAAGCCGCAGAACTTATTAATCAGCGAGATAGGAGAGCTTAAATTGGCGGACTTTGGACTGGCGAGGGCGAAATCCGTGCCGTCGCACACGTACTCGCACGAAGTCGTGACCCTATGGTACAGACCGCCCGACGTTCTTTTAGGTTCCACAGAGTATTCCACCTCGCTCGACATGTGGGGAGTGGGCTGCATATTTGTGGAAATGTTAACGGGCGAACCGACATTCCCAGGTGTGCGCTGCACATACGACCAGCTCGATAAGATATTTAAAGTGCTGGGCACACCTACCGAGGAGACCTGGCCCGGCGTCACGCATCTGCCCGGGTACAAGGCGCACAGACTGTTATTTTATCCACCGCGAAAACTCGGGCTCTCCTTCCCCCGGCTCTACGACATCGCCGACGGCGACAGTATGGCGTCGTCGCTCCTGCAGCTGAATCCCGATCAGCGGATAGGGGCGGAGGAAGCGCTACGGCATCCCTATTTCACCTCTCTTCCTAGGAAACTGTATGAATTACCTGACGGTAAGATCCTTTTCTGCGAAATTCTTCCGGAATATTCGCGGAACGGATATATATGTCTCACGTAACAAGTTCGTTGATTCTGTTGCAGAAGTGTCGATATTCAGCGTAGAAGGTTGTCATTTGTATACAAACTCGAGGCAGGAGTGCGCGGATTCGCGTCACACGACTCTTAAGACTTCGTTTGCTTTAAGGCAGACGTTAAAGGAGTAAATTATAAGTAAATTCGCAATTTACACATTGAAACATTCATCCTCATCAGATCCATATGTTCACACACACGCATACATATACACACACACATACACAACACACCCTACACATACAAACGCACACATGCACCACTCCCAGGCGCGTTGTTCGCTCTCTCTCAGGGCTGCTCCATGATTTCTCCCCGCTAAACAATATTCTTTTCTCCTTCTTTTCACTTTTTTCCAAAAATATACGTATCGAGTAAATTAATTATTAATGAAAATAACTGGTCAAGGAAACAAGAAAGTAAAGCTTACGGCTAAAAGTAAAAAAAAAAGTTTTAAGAACTTGCGCACGCTCGATTTAGGAAGCAAAAGCACGCACGACCCATCCTCGCACTTCGTCCAAATATTAGATTTAGGTCGACACCAATCAAAAGGGAAAAAAAAAAGTACCATACCGCCGCCCTACGCTCCCCCTTTGATCCCAGCCCAAGCCAAGTAGGGTGGGCGGCCGCTGGTTAGCAAAACTATTGCGAAGTAATTATTACTTGTCTTAGAAAAATTGTGGAAGACCTGTAGCACTTTATATAAACGAAACTTTTACCGCGCTGTTTTGAGCACGATGTTGGACACTGGGACAGTTGACAATATTGATAGACAAAAGAAAAAAAAAAAGGAGAGATAAGGAAGAGATAAGGATAATCGTTGTTCAAATTAAATTAATTGTTAGACGTGATAGTGAGTAAGTAAGAGCTTAGAGAAAAAAAAAACTGTGTGTCGATATTAATCAAGTGCCATAGTGATCAACATTGCGGGACGCAGCGGGAGAAAACTAACTGAACGCTCATCGTTGATAGTACTGACGGTAGTGATTTAGATGTAAGTAATTAGCGTTAGATCGTATTTAATATCAATCGAAGTTTATCGACAATGTCGCAACGTAGCGTAAAATAATAGTCGAATCGTGAGAGGGAGAGAAGGAAACGAGGAGTAGTGATTTTAGACTCGTCGAAATTCTTCATTTGTTCAATTCGCTGATAATTATTATCGACATTAGCCAAATGGTGCTCGAATTGTAAACTGTGACGTGTTTAATCGACCTTGTACTCGTGGCGTAATTATTTAACGAGTATCCGTTCGATTTTCTAAAATCTTACTGGATAAACTAGCGTTGGCAATAGTAGAAATAGGGGGAAAGAAATAAGACGGCGTTACAGTTCTTCCAAATTTTGTCTAAGCTAATTGACGATTATTGCGGTAATATTACTCCTTTTCGTAGGTTACATTTATACCGATTTTTCAGCACACTTATTAAGAAAAAAAAATAAAAATATATCAACGAGGTGAAAGTAAAAGAAAGGAGAAGAAATTTTGAAGAGATTTGAGAGACATGTTATTACTATTACTACCGATTTATTGCGTTTATTTCGGTAGATTGTATATAGAATTATCAAATTCGTATTATCGATGATGCTGAGATAGTTGAGTCGAGATAATAAATGTGAATTTGTAATAAATTCAGACGTATGGTACTCTAGACACCTGTTCATCCTTGATTCGGCAGTGATATTACAGGGCTAGCGAAGTAGCATTAAATACAAACTAGTTGTGTTGCGGAGGTACACAATCAGCTACATTTAACATGAAATGCCAAACACATTGTAAGAAAATTATATTTCGCTCATAAAACACTCTTGGGAAATTTATTTTTACACCTTACAAAAAAAAAAGATACGAGAGTTATTATTAAAAAAATTGTGCAACGAAAACACACATTAAAACTTGGGAAGACATTTTTTGTATATGCGCATGATACCGAACACATGAAAATTTATTGTTTCATTAGTTACTGTAATTTTTTTTTTTTCCTTTGTAAATAAATGCAGTGTCAATATAATACTTGTTATCTTGACACTGCTACTATTATCATTTATTATTTGTACAAAATACGTAATATAAAGTTAGGTTGTTTAAATGTCGGAAGATTTTTCACGTTTTGTATTCTGCCATTTTCGTGAAGAACGAGCATTTATAAAGTGGATTAGGTAGGTGATATATTGTAACCATAAGTATTAGTTTTTTATGTTTACGAAATTTTCATCAGTCGATTTCTTTTTTTTTTTTTTTTTTTTTAGGGAATAAAATGGTGCTAAAATTCTCTATTCTAATGCAAAATTTGTAGCAATTTTATTCCATTCTATGAATGGCGACTTCAAATCTTATTTCAAAAAAGAAATATTTAGATGCTTAATTGCGTATATATCAATGAGTGTAGAAAATTACACACATAGTTTATAGTAGATTTTAATATTAAAAAAAAAAGAAAAAATTGAAATTGAAATACTAATGTAACGCGCGCGCGCGCGCGCGATTTTCTTTGTAAAAATTTTGTCATCCATTCGTAATATACAAGTTCCAAAAATACATCTAAATAGTGTTTTTCAATTAGATATTGATTCTTAATTATTTAAATATACTTATTATTTCGTATATCTTATGGCAAAATATGAAAAAGTGTACCAAAAATTTTAAGAGTACCATTATAAATCAAAATACAAACTCCCAAATCAGCTTTCAAAACAAAAATCAATATCGTTTTACATTAGAAACATTGTACTTGCATTTTGTATAGATATAACAATATTTATATATATATAATGTTACGCATTTATCAGTCTTCTTAAAATATATTTTTATGTACTTTTTAATTAAATATGTTAATGTACAATTTTTTTCAAAAATAATTCCTCAATTTGCTGCAAAAAAAAGTATCAAAAATTTATAGATGATTCTACACATTTTATTATGAGTAACGCAAAAATTCTGGTCTCATCACTGCCGAATTAAGCATTTACCGTACGTGAATGTTCCATTTGATTTTTTGAAAATACCGTAACAAAAAATTGTAATTTCAATATGTACTTATGTTACCCAAGTATCGATTTTTTTGTACGTGCGTTTCTTCCAATCTAATTGTACATTTTATTTGTAAATTTTTTATAAGATACTGCGAATATCCAGCCGCTGTGGAATTGTCAAAAGAGAAAGAAAAGAATTCGTTACGTCGTTGCGAACATGTGGTATTACATATGCCCGACGTTTAAACCGATTGATCGATTCCGGGTTTAACCGGAAACGTCAAGTTGAACGTATTGTGCCTGTGCTACAAATATTTGAAATAATAAAGATACAACTCGCTATTACTTGTTACGGATTTTGCATTTATTTTCACGTCGAACATTATCATATTATTTACAGTCAGAATTAATTAATTAAATTTCAAAAAATTTTATGTATAAATTACTGTTTTATATTTTTTACATGTGCAGATTTGAAAATAATTTTAGATTTAATTTTGCAAAAATCGCTACTTGCGACCACAGTTTGCATTCAAAGTGCTATTTCTAATTATTTTGTTAAATTAAAGTAAAAAAATCTAGTTATACAGGCTGGAGGCATCTAATACAATAAAACAAAAATGGTTAAATTCATGAAATTTTAGAAAATGTTATCCATCATTATAAAACACTTAATAAAATTCAAGAAATTTTCTTAGAAATCCATTAATTTTAAGAAATTTGATTTTAGAGGAAATTAGTGTGAGATTTAAAAACTAATAAAAAAAATTAAAAAAAAAAATTCACAAATAATTACATCAGTAAATTTTCTTGGCAATCTATAATATCCATATTTAACAAAAAACAATTTTATATCCTTATGTTTATTATTACAATAATTAAAAAAAATTACCTTTTAATTCGTGATATCAAGACCATTCAATAATTCTTGTAGATCACGAATTTTGTACCGATTATTCAGATAAATCTTGAGCTTGAGTCTGCAGGTGAAAGAAAATCTGAGGGCGGAATGTGTTTCTCAGTTACTACCCACTACTGACATTCAGTCAGACATTTTCTCCCTCTCGGTTTTATCGGTTTTACCTTTGCTCTCTTCGATCAAACAGTGACCAGGATAGACACGCGTTCAGAGCTGGTGACAATTTTATGCATAATCTACTGTTTTCTATTTCCAATTTTCTTGCTATTAGAAAAGTTAAAAAATGTGAATACTTATTGAAGTATTTTCATCGACATATGTGTATATAAATAAAATATGAACAATCACAAAATATATCCAATAAATTATTAATAATGCTTTCCATCACTTAATTTGTTAGACATTTTCACATCGAGTGTGCCTTGTATAAATATTTATTTTTCTGCCATGAATATCTTTAGTTTGTCCTTTGTTGATTCAATGCTAAAATTCTAATAGCAATTTTACTAATAGCAAGTTTAAGTTTCACAGTAGTAATTTTTCCAGTGCCATATATTAAACGAATCAAAAGCTTCTTTTATATCTACTGCTTTCTCTCTCTCTCTCTTATTAGTCTGATCTCTTCATATATCTCTTGCAGTAATACTTTGCCTTGCTTTTTATATGTGAACACCTGTAAAAAAATTTATTTGTTATAAAGACAATCCTCAAACAAATACATAATTTCTTATACAGGGTGTCCGGTAATTGCTGAATCACCTCTCGGGTGCAGGTAGAGCGGGTTAAACCGAGTAGAAAAGTCCTCTACCGTTTTGCGAGTTTCGCAATAATTAATGAGAAATTAATTAAAGAAAATCGGCCAATTTGCGCGATGTGAGAAGAGACAGTCCACTGTTGCGTGGTCGCTAGAACGCAAGGATCTTAGCGTTACGCACCGCTCATATGTTGCCGTTGTCATTTGTAGAGCGCTCCTCCCAACGCTTTATCGCGCGCCTAGTAACCAAATAACAAATAGACTGTATCGCCACGGGTCTCTTCTCGCTGCGCTCTTAATCTCGCGCGAATTGGCCGATATTTTTTAATTGATTCCTCATTAATTATTGCGAAAATCGCAAAATGATAGAGGACTTTTCTATTCGGTTTAAACCGCTCTACCTACACCCGAGAGGTGATTCAGCAATTACCGGACACCCTGTATACAGAAAAAATATTGCTTACATACATAATAGGTTAGATTTTTTTTAAAGATAGAACATAGTTTTAATAAATTAAAAATAAAACACTGGAATGAAAAAAATAGTTTGATAGAAGTGTGATCAGAATTGAATCAGAATCAAACAAATAGTTGCAGACATTGTGCTCAAACTAATTCCTCCTGCACATTTTCATTTAATGATCTCGTAAAGAGATCTTTCTAATTTAAGCGCGTTTCTCAGTCTGAAAACAACAACATCTTTATTGATCTCCGTAGAACCGTCAGGCCGTGATACCAGAATGAAGAGACGCGACCCCACGTAATGGAGAGAATCTTTTGTGATTAATTTTTATAATTTAATCAACATTAATAAACTTTAAGAAGATAAAACACGACGATGGAAACCATTTCAGAATTTTATAAACACTTTGATAATGTTAAGACCGAATGAGATATAATCAAGGATCGTATAACCGTTTTATCAAAGGAGAACCCGAATAAGAACCCGACTTTTAATATTTAATTAAGAAATTATTAACAATTAGCAGCTTAAATTTGACAAAAAATACCTTCCAGAAACCTTAAAGATGCGCGAATTATTTAAGAACTTTACGAATATCCTAACGTGACATTACGGTGGGTTGCGGCTCCATTCTGGCATCACTGCTCGCGAACTGGTTGCTACTTCATGTCATAATATGTAACGTAACGCCACTGTCACAACAATAGCTCTTCCAAGATGGCGTTGATGTGTGTCGAATTTTTTTAGGCTACGCGAATCGCGTAGACTGGTCGTCTTCAGTAGTGTTTCTTCGGTGCCGCGCATGCATGATTGCACAGCGGAACATGTCTAGAAACGTTTTCTACACACTGTATTTAATTAGTATCACTTGATACGATCGCGGTGAGCAAACGCGGAACGACAAACGGACGCGGCGAATTTTTTCCCGCAGGTGAGTGCGAACGGGCTTTCGTTTCACTTCCTTTGAAAAGTCTTGCTTTGCTATTATTTCTATCCGAAGTAGCGACGAAACACTATTAGAGACCGTTGTATATCCGATTAAATTCTCGTTACTGTCGAGCGTGTCGGAAGTAATTGAAAGGCGCCAATGTTATCGAATGTTTTTGTCCGAGGATTTAATGCATTCGCATAGATATATACAACGCGCCGCATTATCAAGCCATATCGCGCTACGAACAAAGAATAAATTGTAAATTATAAAACTGGCACTGCGCTACGAATGAAACTGTTCTAGATAATTCTGCCGAGTAAGCGAGAACGGTCAATAATATCGTACCGCCCTCCTATCGTTCTTGAACTCCTTGACATTCACAAAAATTCAATTCCAGGGCCGGCAGTCGTTTATTACAATCTCATCGGTGTCCGATGCTTTCTCGATCCGCGGCGCATGATCTTTTCCGCGCGATGATTCACATGCCTTTCTTGCCGTTCCGCTGTGATTCATATTCGTTCCTCTTTCTCTCTCCTTCTCGTTACTGGATTTGCGGGGAATGGATATAAGGAAATTGCTTTAACGTGTTATGACTCGGAAAGCACGTAGCGCGCGACCTCATCGTCCCCGATTGCTCGAGTAAGAGAATCGCTTCCACTTGTAAATCACCGTCTTATTTGTATATCGGGCCGCATCGTCAGAAGATGGTCCGAAATTCGTGCATCTTCGATCTCATAAATAAACAAAAAACATGGGGAGAGAACGCTTCGGAATTCATTAGATTTCTCACGCTTCGATAGTGCTAGAAGTTTCCATCAATTTTCGCGTTTATTAAGTACTTGGTTTTTTTTTTTTTTTTAGAAATAAACTATAATCAATATTATTTTTTTTTATTTAGGCTAATTTATAGGCGTGGCATTGTAATCTGATAAAAAAAATATTTCCTGGTGCATATATTTTGACAAAATTGTTTAACAGGACATTCTTGTTTATAATTATTTATTTTTTGTACATATTCTAGACATAAAGTATTACGAGAATAAATATATATTATTAGAAACTTCTTTGTGGTCTGGAGATTATTGAAAGACAATATAAATATACTTCATTGTAAACACATGTATTTATAAATGTTCTTTTCAGGTCTGCACAAATACCATGGGTCGTTACACAGGGAAAAAATGTCGCCTTTTAACAATGTTATGGCTGACAGCCTTGTTCTTTTTAGTTGAAATTGTAGTTGGATATGTAACTAATTCGATGGCTTTAATAGCTGACAGCTTCCACATGTTGTCGGATGTAGCGGCTTTGGTAGTAGCATTTCTTTCGGTAAAGGTAAGCTGTAGAAATATGTTTTTCTCAATTTCACCGTTGAAATCTTACTGTGTAATAATATCAATTGTTAATGAATACCTTTGTGTTGCAGATGTCGCCGAAGAAATGGTCCAAGAACACCTTTGGTTGGGCTAGGGCTGAGGTGTTGGGAGCTTTAGTCAATGCCGTGTTTTTGGTCGCGCTATGTTTTAGCATCACTGTGGAAGCGTGTAAGCGATTCATTGAGGTGGAAGAAATACATGAAGCTAAACTGCTTGTGGCAGTTGGAGCACTTGGACTGTTGGTGAATGTGATAGGCTTATGTTTATTTCATGGTGAGTGTTTTACTGTTTATCATATATTGATCATGTTTAAGGATATCTGAATTGCACAAGTAAAACATTTAATTTTGGTATGAAAATATATATTTGTATCTTAAAAATACTCTAAAATTGTTACATTGTGAAGATACTTTATAAATAGCAGGAAAATTGCAATAACAATGAATTTTTTTATTAATTAGTAAAAATTCACATCATTACTTTTCTCCTGCTACAAGATTAATGTACTTTATTTATCGTATATCTTAATTACTTATTGTACCCTTCATATCTAATCATCTAATATTATCTTAATTACGATAATGGATAACGTTATTGTTCCAAGTCACAGTTAGCATATAAAACTCTTTGTCTAATATTTTCACGATATTATCTTGTTATTGATGGGTTTAAGAGATTTTGTCTTGAGTCAAGATAAAGAGGAGTTAATTATCGATTCTCAGTGGTATTGTATCAGTCTAAATGAGCAAATGCAACAGTAAAGTTTAAAATATAAAACTTCTAGACATAAAACAAAATTTTTATTACAGAATTTTAATGAGTTTATATGTCAAGATTACAGATTTAAAAATAGTTAATTAAAATATCAATAATGGTTGGTCAATATTGTCAATAATATATTCAGTACATTTATTTCATTTTATCAATACTAAGATTATCATAATTAATTCTCGAAGCGAATAAATGAATATTAACACAAAATAATAAAGAGAAGACATAAAAAATACAATAAGGGAATATTACTTTACTTTGAAGCGAAACACTGGTTAATTTTTTAGTAAATATATTTAACGTTTCATAGCTGTGAAATTCAGTTAAAATTAGATCGTACACACATTTTTTGCTCGCACATATCTATTTAATTGATACCAACTTATATAATAGATAAAATCAATCTTTATTTTCCCAATATAAATCAAGATATTTATAAGTGCAACGTAATTGCAGAACACGGAAGTGCTCATGGTCACTCGCATGGTATATCCCGAAGTCATAATAGACTGAGCACTTTAGTGGGCACGGATGACAATGAAAACGACGAAGCTTACAGACCTTCGACGCCCCAAGTGAAAAGAGCGCACGGTCACAGTCACGATGCAAGTCAAATGAACATGCGAGGAGTATTTCTCCACGTACTTTCTGACGCATTGGGATCTGTTATTGTAATCGTGTCTGCCCTCATTGTATGGCTCACAGAGTGGAAGTACAGGTAATTATTTATATTGCATACCACACGGTGTAACACATACAGAAGAGTTTTAAATCCATAATTAAAATTCTTTCTTTTATTTTTTTTTATCTACAGATTTTACATTGACCCCGCACTGTCGCTTTTATTAGTCATTCTTATCTTGCGATCAGTGTGGCCGTTACTCCAGGAATCAGCTTTAATTCTACTGCAGACTGTGCCAACACACATTCAAGTAACGCTTTATCGATTTCGTGCAACTTGATTAATTTTTCTGAGATACATTTGTCATACAATTTGCAAATCCATCCGTGCAGGTTGATGCTATACAGCAGCGTTTGTTAGAAAATGTAGACGGAGTATTAGCCGTACACGAGTTCCACGTGTGGCAGTTAGCGGGTGACCGTATTATAGCTAGTGCGCATATAAGATGTAGGAATCTTTCGGAGTACATGAAAATTGCCGAACAAGTTAAGGAGTTTTTCCACAACGAGGGCATCCACTCCACGACTATTCAACCAGAATTTATCGATGTACGTAATAAAGTGGAATAGCATTTTGAAGTATATATTCACGGCACACGTATGCCACAGTTTTGTCAATACATTTATATGCAATTAATATTTTTTTTTGTATAATATTCCAGTATCATTCAAATAGCGAAATTAAAGAAACTCCCACGGAGGATTGTGTGTTGGATTGTCCAAAGACTGATAAACCGTGCAATCATGCGACATGCTGTGGTCCTTCTAAGCAAGTAAGTACTGCGTTATCCGCTTTCCACGTCCTCGCATCACTCATCTCCCATGTATTCTTCGATTCTCTAGTATAATATGGAGAGAGACACAGATCCTCAAACTATGTGCCCTAAAGCAAAGTATTTCGGACGATGTTTAGAAGGAATAGAATCAGAATCAAATACGACTATTGGTAGAAGCCGCGATAGTTCGTCTACTCTGTCTGGAAGTATAAACTCTGTACTTCATTAATTCCAAAGTATGGTTATATCTGTTTGTGAAAAATAAAAAGAGCGTTTCGCGCAATAAAATTTCACTCGGCCAAAATTCTTTAGAAAGAGAAGAAGATAACAATTTACCTTCTCGAAATTTGCAATTGCGCATAGTAAGACGTAATCACAAAAGTATGTAATCAAAATTGTACACAAGTTTCAGTTTTATATTTGCGCGAGATAAAATGAGAAAAATCGATGCACGCGTTTATTGAGATCTCGTATCACGAATATTGCTTCTATCATAAAAATAGATCCTTTCAAGACTTGTTCTATCCGTCAGCCTTGCTGATAAGGTTTGTAAATAAGATTCATAGACGATAACTTGTCTAATGCAGGGTCGTGAGACTCCTTCCCCTGGAGAAACGCCGTACATGTGCAGACAGCGCAACAGCCTGGCGCGTTCGACCGGCTCTATAGGAGGAGCTGAGCAGCAAGAAGTGAATGAAATGGAATGCGGACACTTGCTGTCACTGCCGACATCGCATCCAGCTTCGTTTCATTCCGTCCAAGTTCCCCATCCTCATGTTAACGCACCAACTGTCTGAGTTCATCATTGCATCATCAAATATCTACCTCCATAGTAAAATACACGGCGCGTCGCGATTTATTGTACAAATACAATAAATGGAATACATCTATGATATCTATTAGTATCGCAGTTAATGGCAGAGGTTGAAGGACGCATTTGCAATCGCATCAATTATTATCGTAACGAATTTATATTTCTTCCGAAGATTTGCGTAGCGAGCAAATCTGCTTCTTATCTTTGCCATCAATTTACTTATATAACGTATTAATGGATATTTGACGATTAAATGCCAAAGGCATGTTAATACCAAATATTTTATGTTACACAATGCTCTGATATAAATAAGATATTTAATTTGGATTTCTAAAAAAATTATAAGGTTTTTATCTTAATAATTCTGTGCATAATTTATGCAGAATAGAAATAGGATGTAGAAATATAGGATTTATAATATCTAAGTTAAGTATTTTTTAAATCTCACTTTCCGAGACTGCGGTGAATAAGAACACTACTTTGTAAAGCTGTTTATTTATATATTGTGTAATTTTTATTCTGTATATTATGCTACGCAATTTTATAAGATAGTATACAAATCTATAAGCGAGAGAGTACCAAATCTCTTCATTATACCTTGTATTCTTTCCTCCATATAATTTTTATATGTAAGTCTATATTTTTTATGTATTCCTTGTGGATTTAATCGATTAGAAAAGAAATCCTATGAAAACGGAATGTATTAATTGGTCATGTGTTCCGTATATTTATTACAATATTTATAAATTTAGAAACTACAAGAAAAAGTATGTTGACAAAATGCTTCATTGCCTTATAGTCTCGAAAATTTCTTTTTATTACATAAGCTTAAACCAATAAAACAAAAATTCAATACAGAAAATTAAATATTAGTTGAAATAAAACAGATCTTTCTCTTTATACCTATCTACCTTCGAAGGATTAAAATACTGATTATTTTCGAATTAGAATAATTTTCTTTCACTTTTTATTAACTATTATTTCGTGATAGAACAGCAGACTTCGACTTAAAATTTCTATTTTTCTACAAATCTATCTTATTAGTATGACAACTAAAATATATATTTTATTACTTTATACATTTTTATTATCTTTAAGATAGTTAATAATTAGTATAACGTATGATTTTCTAAATTTCTATATAAACACTCATAGTAAGTATTAAATGAGTAATTCGTGCCGCACGTATATGGCATTCTTCAATTACTGTTGTTTCACCTCAACTTTTGTGGTTTTAAACCACCGCCACTGACTTAATCCAGCTATCAAACTTATTTACATCAGTGTACGCAGCAGGCACTCCTCCGTCTGCACACTTTATACCCCACGATACCAGCCCGACAGCAGTTTGGAAACCATTACTTGGACATACCAGCGCTGAACCTCCATCGCCCTTCAAAAAGAATTCGCAGCGTTATCGATTAAGAAATAAATGCCAAAAATTGACAGACAACTTCACCACCCCGATCTATAAGTTATCTATAAATCTTATTCTCTTACAATGCACGCGTCTTTGCCAGCTTCCCCTCCGGCGCACATAAAGCTACTGTGTAAAGCAAAGTTGGCGCCGAGTGTCGTCTTTCGAAGGGCCGTTTGACAATCCGCTGAACTTACCACAGGCAAGTCGACCTGTTTTAGAATACTTTGTGGGTACTGTCCGTTAAAGGCGGTTTTCCCCCAGCCTGCCACTTTACATCTTTAAGATATTAATATAATTATTATTACATATATTATTTAAAGAGAGATCTTACCACTCTAACTGTTGGCAATATTTGAACACCGCGTGCATTAATTATATGTACCTTGTTCCCGGTACAGGTGGTCCAAATGCCAAACACACCGTGTTGATATGAGGATTATTTGGAGGACCGATTGGAGCAGGCTCTTTCAATTTGAGCACCGCTATGTCGTTCTGCAGGTTGTTTGCAGTAAATGTCATATTAGATATCATTTCGACGTCGATATCTCTGAACGGATAACGTTCGTTGGTAACTGTAAAGTCCCACTCACCCAGTCTTGCTACGAGTCCACCATTTCTGTAACATTATTTTCACAAGCACAATGATGAAGAAGGATTGAAACGTGTATATTACATCACTGTCGTACGTTAACGTCAAAAACTTCTTTTAACCCATAAAAAAAACCGCTGTCTTAAAAGATGCATTAAAAGACACGTTAGAATGTGAAATACGCAGTAATGCTTACAAGTAAGACGTCACTTTGTGAAAGGCGGTAAGAACGTGCAACGAAGTGATAAGCGCTCCACCTCCGACGTATATGTTAGGCCTGGCGTAAAGAGCCACTTGCCAAGGAAATTCACCGAAAGCAGCCTGCCCTGCGGGTTGCGGAGTGGGTGCGATGTAGACTCTGCCGCAAGTAGGTGCATTTATGCCGATATTACTGCCGCCGCCGCCGCCGCCAGACGAGCAACAGTACACAAATCCAGTGGAGCAATATGTTCCCTAAAAGTAGAAAGTTAGAAAAATAAATAGAATAACAATATTACAAGATTATACTAATAATGCCGGACGATAATCATATCATTATGTGGTGTATCTTTTTATGTAAATATTTCACGAGTATCATATCACAAGTTTTGCATTTATAAGTGAAAATATACTACTTACGTTATTTACGATTCTGACATCGACACCGCCTGTTGTGCCCGCAGGACACACTATTCCAGAGTAGCAGAAGCACTGTCGAGGCACGGCTAGAAAAACAAAATGTGTCAGATATAACAGTAATTAATCAAAACCTAAATAGACTAAAGAAAAAAATCTTTTCTTACACTTATAAATTCTTTATAATAAAACTTGAATATTCATTGAGTATCATTAAGAATATTTATCACTTTAATAGTTCAAAAATAAATTTCTATAGTCAATTATTTATTTATTATTATCTCGTAAAATAATAATACATACTTGGTGCCATTGTCTGAAAAACTATGGCAGGACTTTGCGCGGAAACAAATATTAGCTGCAGCAGCTCGCACAGCGGCAGCAGAAGCAGCAGGACGTTATTCATCTTGAAAATCCGTGATCGCAGAAAATTAATCGAACACCGCTGTAAGTGAAACTAGCACAACAAATAAAAACGGAGCGTGATCTGCAGACTTATATACATTACACGAATGCATCGATGCGTTTATGACGGTATATCGTTTCCGTTTCTCGTAACTTTGAGCGTATTAATTCGTGCATCCTGCCGGATGAGATATAATACATGACCTTTCACGGCTAAAAACGGCTGCTCTCAGTGACGGCACCAGACGGCAAGTGTAAAATATCTGGCACAATGTGTGGAAAAAAAAAGAAGAACAAATTGCTTCCAATCATAATTACGCTCATATATATGCGCGTAATAATCGGCACGAGCGCATCTGTAATAACGACCGGTATTCCCGGCGGATCGTAATAGCCGCGCATTTAGCCGGCGCAGAGGGAAAATCGCAAGGCCATCTCCATCTCAACGGCAAATAGTTGAAGGTCAATAATCAGAACTCACCGGTGCGAGCAGTTCGTGAATCACGCACCGATGACTTCATTCATCATATTCAAACATTACATATTAAAATACAATGTCACAAAAAAACATTGTTTCGCAGGTGGCGATAAATTGATTTCGAACCTTGCGTATGACACACGCAAGAGAGCCGTTATACGAATGACGAACTGTAAAGTACTTTTTTTACAAAAGAGCAATATCTCCTATACATTCGATCTTAAGATCCAAATTGGTTGCTGAAAGATTTAAAAAGATTGTTAATTTGATTTTGCTTACAATTAATGGATACAAAAATTGGAAAGCAGGCTACAAAAGATTAGCAAGAAGTTCGAATATTCGCAATATACTTTCGTTCTTATTTGAATGCTTTTGGCTTCAAAGTTTATGTCGGATGCTAACGGAACGGATCAGGATAAATTTATGGTTAACAACTATTCAAGATAGTATTTTTACCAGTATTATACCATTCGTATGATTTATTTCTATTAATCAATAAAATATACCAAATAATAACAAATACCATTACTTAAGTTTACCCTTTAACAATATAATTAGAGAGAGTATAAAAATATCATAATTTATGTTTTCCCGATCTTTCACGAATCACGGAATGATTAGATTATGCTTCAGCTTTTGCATTAGTTTAGTATTCTTCATAGCAAACTTACGGAATAAATTAGCGTGACCACATGTAAAAATACATACTTTGCATGTACGGTAAATTCTTTTTAACGGCATTTGCCAATAACTTGCCGAAAGGTACAGAAGTAGATACCGTGTCGAGCAAGGCATTTATTTTAGTACAGCTGTACTTATCGTAAAACGGCGATCTTAAGATGTACAACAGCAAACTCAATCTTCGACGAACGAGTTCTTCTTTCTCCTCTTTACTGAATAGTATCTTTTGGCTGGAGCGAGTGTAGATATTTAAACTGCACAAACGATAACTCGATTATAAACAAATTGTAGTACATCAATTATGCGTAGTAATGCAATTTTACATAATATTTACCTGATCATATCGATAATAAGTGATAACATCCACGGCGGCCAACGCTTTTGGTTAGTAATATATATAGCTCCAAGATGAAGCAACGGCTTTGTTACATAAAGACTCTAAAAGTTTAAAAGAATTTTGTTACAGTATACAGGATGTTTCATAATGTCCGTGCCAGCGCTCGTGTGCAGGTAGAATGCGGTAAACTGAATAGAAAAGTCCTGTACCATTTTGCAATTTTTGCAATAATAATTGAGATATTAATTAAAAAGGATTGACGAATAATCGCGCGTTGCACGCGGCTAGACCATGGGCTGTACACTCTAGGCGTGACAGCAACGAGGATCACACGGCAACGAAAAATAACATGTATTACTCTTGCTCTTGCCATTGTTATTTTTCGTTGCCGTGCGATCCTCGTTGCTGTCACGCCTAAAGTGCACAGCCCATAATCTAGCCGCGTGCAATTATTCGTCAATCCTTTTTAATTAATATCTCAATTATTATTGCAAAAATTGCAAAACGATAAAGGACTTTTCTATTCAGTTTACCGCACTCTACCCGCACACGAGTGTTGGCACGGACATTATGAAACACCCTGTATATCGTTTTTATATTATTACAGACATAAAACTAAACAAATTATAAAATAAAATAATTTAGGAAATATATAACAGAATAAGTAAGACAAAATGCAATCAATTTAATAAAATTAAACAATTTCCATAATTATATATTATTTAGAAACTTGTTAAAAAATTTTACCCCAATATTAATATTTTGGTTTCAAGATTTCTGAATTAAAATTATAATTTTAACTTGTCATTATAAAAAAGAAAGTATTCTTTATCTATTTATCGTCCATAGATATGTATATATTTTTACCAACCTCAGCTAGCTTAAGACTTATCAAAGACTGTTGATTTTTTGTTAAATTCTCATTTTCATCTATGTTAGATGGTAAAGCTTTCCATGTTCGCATTTCTACAGGAACCGAATGTTTCACGCTTCTAATAACAGTGCCTGATCTTTTCAGTGTAAATCCTTCTTTCAATTCTGCATTGTGAATGACTTTATTAAACTTTTCTCTATCAAGTGGTGGTATTGCAGGACTTTTTGTGACACGCTCCTTGTACACGTGAACCAATAACAATCGTAATACGGTTCTACAAAAAAAATATCGATTGTCTGCAAAACAGAATCTAACACAACGTACAAAAACAGTTATGTTGTGAAAAAATAGCAAATACTTACTTAAACAATTGTACAATTAAAATTATTAACCACTTTCCCTTCGCTCCCCACAATTTGTTGGCTGATATTTCAAGCAACGTCTCAGTATATTCGACTACAGTCAGCCAAATTTTAATTTTTGATTCAAACTGTGGTATCTTCAGATATGTGCATTTGCTACTATACATAAGCAAATCATTGCATAGCACAATTAAATTTGGCATAGAATAAATTAATTCAATAGCCAAATTTGAATTACCCAAATGTCCTGTGGAAAAAATTACATTTAGTGGTACTGTCGATAAAAAGTTTTGATTTTTGTACTAACCAAAACTAAAATAAGATAAACATCTAACAGTGGCTTCGATATCTGATAGCAACTGTGGATTTGTTACAATCCATCTCTTGTAAGATGTCCATAAATTATTTAATGTGCAACTGGCACTTTCCATCTTTTTAGTGTTATTATAAATACTTCATAAAATAAGTAGCAGCAAACACTCAATTTTGCATCTTCATTGTAACAGCATTATTGCACATTATTGTTAGTGAGAGCTACCATCTTTAATTTCAAGATCGAGATATAAAAATCTTAGCGAGAATCGATTTTTTCCATTTGATACAATTTCTACATTCGAGAGTCGATTCTCTCATTTTTTAACTTAAGCCTGCATCAGATTATGCAGCATGCGACAATTCGATCTAGTAAATTACTAGAAATACTGTGTGCTGTATGGTACATTTTTAGTAGTTTAGTAGATCGCTTGCAAATTAGGCCCTGCGCACAATGAAAAAAATATTAGGAACAAGAATAAATATTAAACATTAGAAAGAGCAATTTGGAATTATTTTACTTTAAATGAGGGAACGGAATGGATTAATTATTTCTAATTCTTATTTCTCAATTTATACGTTATCCATTTCATTTTCTTGTTTTGAAATAAAATAATATCAATTTCCTCTTTCTAATATTTAATATTTATTCTTGATCCTAATATTTTCTCTATTGTGCGCAGGGCCTTACTGCAACAAGATAAAAGGTCTGTTCTTTATAGCTGAACTGGCTGCACTAGTTCAGAGTTTATCTTTTTTCCTCCACGTTGGAAGAAGGAAGATAAACTTTGAACTAGTGCAGCCAGTTCAGCTATAAAGAACAAACCTAAGATTTATCGCATAAGATTTGTCGCGTCGAATGCCGCAACACGCTCCTACTCGCTTTAATCTACAGTACACGTAACATAATACTATAGATTAGAGCGAGTAGGAGCACGCTGGGTCACGCGAGCAAACCTTCGGTGCCTACTCTCTTCTGCTATTCGACCTAGCCGAAATGGCCGAAAACGCAAAACACACATGTATACGCGGTTCTCCATTCTGTATGTATTCCCTGCATTACGGTTTACACGGGGGGGCCGTGTTTCCGGCGTCTCCATTCTAGCATCGTTTTCATCACTGTCATTAGTTCGCAACTCGGTGATGTGCGCGTGATGCATTTATGTATATGTGATATTGTGTGCATCGGAAAGCGTCATATAAATAAGCGGCGAGCTCGCGAGCAATAGCATTCGCGAGTCTCGTCGCGGTCGGTCGATTCGTCGACGACGTAAGCGGTTGCTGTGATTCGTTTCCTTTACAGCGTCCTTCAACCCGAAATGTCATCACCTACAGAAGTGGTAAGGGAATGAATAAATTTTTGTTTACAATCGATTTATCTCATCCTTTTACAAATATTCTCGCTGTTTTTATTTTCTATTCAACTCATTGTCAACTCCGTGCTTACATCGTTGTTCCGTCATTGTTGTCAGCGTTCGGTTTAATTCAGGACAAAGGAGCTTTGTTTTCACTGTGCATGCTGATGCATTCTCGTTGCTTCTTGTCTGATAAGTTGTCTGATAATTTGACCTAAAATAAATTCACTGAATTGATGAGATGTTATCAATAAGATTTATATTTTATATAATTAAAAAATTAATTAATCAAATATTTAATTTATACGCATTTTGCAATGTTTCAAAAAATTGTGTGTTGAAGGTTTTGTAAGATAATTTATGCAGAAAAATTTTTCTTTAAAAATTATTTAGATTTTAACAAATAATTATGGTTTTATGTATACATTACCTTCATTATTTCTTTCTTATGTTAAACAAATTTGCATTCTCAAAAGATGAGAAAAAGGAGACAATTAACACTGCTCCTTTATGTACATGTAAAGATTTTAACACTGTATGCAATTGCTTTCAGTTTGCATAAGTATACATTTTACATTTGTGAATGTATTTTATAATATATATAATTAATATATACATATTAAAAATTGATGTACATACATAAAAAATCTTTTATTGTATATCAAAATTGTTAAACACAAATAACTTTGGTAATTATATATATATATAATCTATATTTAATTTTTATATAATCTGTATTTTTTTAACATTTTTAATTTTATATTAGGTTTTGGTTTTTGAGTTATTAAATTTTTCCAATGTTCCAAACAATTGAGTAACCAAGTTTGTACTTTTGTCAAGTATCGGTAGGTAACAGTGATTAAATCTGGACAGATATTACAGATAAATGCAAGGATTTCTGCATTATGTCCATCCTGTTTGAAATTCCTTAAAGATCAATCTAATGCAGTTATTATTGTAATAGCATGCTGTCAGAGAAACCACAGATTGGCATAAAGTGACTACTCTATATCAAAGACTATTGTGTATCTCGGTACCAATATTAGATAATGTACTATCATGTAACTAGCTGGATTAGGCCAATGATTAGGCTTCAGTGACTATGGATAGATCTCTTTCAAGCACGCATTATTATTTGTTAAATCTTGACGATGAAAAGCAGTTTGTGATAAAATATTTTGCTAAATATTTGAATACATTTTAACAATTTATATGAATAAAAAATATATGTTATAAATTTTTTTTCGGCAAAGAAAATTATCAGAGAATTTAGTAAAAAGTATAATAAGACAAAGATAAGTAAAAGAATATTAAAAATTTTATGATCATCATATTGAATGCTATTGTAAGCATAATAAACGTTTACAAAAATAAACTAGAATTAATCTCAACCTACTAACATGGATTTTGTTTAATCCCTCCAGAGAATTATCTGCTGAATTTATGTTTTGATTGCCTATCTATAAATGTCAAATAATAAGTCAAAGATAATGAAACGTTTGCAATGTATTGCATAATGTTTTCTACACTTCTTATTTTCTTTCAATTTATCATTTATTATTATTAAGCTATCCTGTAGATTTACGTACAGATAAATTATCTTGAAGTACTTGTTTGTTACAAAATCACGCATTAATTTTATCAATTAATATGTATGAGTGAATTATTATGAGCAAATTATTTTCCTTCATGCACTTGTCGATACAGACAAGTTGTATGACAATTATCTTAATACTTTTTGTATCGGCGCGTTTATATTTATCAGCGTGACTGACAAGGTCGACCTTTTCTATTTCAGATTAAAAGTATTGGACCGAAATTGGTGCCGTTTTTTAAAAGTGTGTCGGTATATTTTGTACTGCTCGCCGAACAGCCATCTCTGCTAACGGCGTGCTTTAAATGTTTGCCGATAATAAGTCTTATTATTTTCGTGCTGTTGCACGGGATTAGCTTGTCGAAAGAGTAAGTAAAGACGCCGTTGTATCTCTTACGAATGTAGACATTGATTAACTTTCAACTCTTTCGAGTAACTCGTTGCGTTGCAATTTATTTCTTCAGTTTATTAACACTGAATCTTTTTGCAGATATGCTTTCTCCAGGCGTATATTAACGGGATTGGTGTTCAGTTGCATCGGCGATGCACTGTTGGTGTGGCCTAACTGTTTTACAGCGGGGATGTGTATGTTCGCCGTCGCACAAATTATGTATATAATCGCATTTGGATTCAAACCCCTGAATTTAGCACTCGGCGCGGTGCTGTACACGTTCTGTTCAATTGGTAAGTTGCGCAGATACGATTTATCGAACATTAATTTATCACTGTTTATGTTTAACCGATTAAACGTCTCTGTTTCCAGTCATATTTGCTTTGATGCCCGGACTGACCGGGGTTTTAAAAATAGGAGTGCCAATTTATACAGTATTACTTACCACTATGGCATGGCGGGCCATATCAAGAGTACAGTTCTTTGGGGTAAATTCATACAATGTACAAATCGATCTCAATTATTTGTTTCTTGCTTCCTTTCAATTTTGTGACATTAATTGCTTCTCTAAGGGCCACTTTTTCCAACGTCGGTTAACGTTAATCGACGATTTCAATTTGTTAATAGAATTGTTAACATGAAGAATTAATATCTTCATTAAAGGTGACAAAAATTTTAAATCTTTCTTTTTTAATGACCATATTTTATTCATGTTAGCAATTCTATTAACAAATTGAAATCGTTGGTTAACGTTAACCGACGTTGGAAAAAATTACCCTAATTAATTTTTTTCTCCACATAATGATCGGTATTAATCTTTGTACATTGATATTACATATCGCACGGGGATTAATCCATATTTTATCCATTAGGAATTATGGACGTGGACTAGATTGTGCAGTTGCATCGGAAGCATTTGCTTTGTCATATCTGACACTTTGCTTGGATTTAATTATTTCCATAGTCCATTACCTTATTCTCAGGTACATGTGTATAACAATATTACGTACGCATTAACATTATTCGTTTCGAAGAATAGTAGATCAAAGATTATGACTTCACATATTAATCGATTTTTTTTCTGTATAGGTGACCATCATGCTGACGTACTATGCAGCGCAATTAGGCATAGCATTGAGTGCGGTTGATTCGAAAAATAACAGTAATAACAGAGTACCTGCCAGTAAAGGCTGAGATAATTAGCTTTAGTTGTAATCTATCAAAAAGAATCTGCAGATATATTACAAAGCGGACAGGAAAAATCTTTTGACATGTCTGCATTAAACTATATGCATAATTCCAGTAGGAAATTTGTTGTGATAATTGTCTTTGACATGTTAAATATTGTACTTTGAAGCCATATATATTGAGGAGACTCAGTGGTGTTATAGTGATAGAATGTGGTACTTTTTAACTGTAAAGAGTAGACTTATATTTCTTTTTGTATTAGTTAATGCAAAGAAAGATGTCCTATAGAGATTTCATACTGACCACATTTGTGGTTTTCCTATTTTTTGTATCTATAAAGGAAAGAATTAAGAAATTACTGTTAAGAATGAACGAACAAAATAGAATTGTTAAAGAAAATTCTTTAGCAAAAGTATGACGCTTTATTGTTTCTATTGAAATAGAAAAATTATTTTGTAGCGTTGTTTATAATGATCAAGATTTTTAGGCGTGAAAGAAAGATTATTAGTATGTTAGATCGTATAAAATGTTTCTTATATATTTATGTATGTAAGAATCTCAAAATTAGAATATTACTATTGTAATTGTAACATTATTTCTCATTTAACTCGGGCCAAAATGCAATAGTCTATTTGCAATATATCGCGAATGGCAAATATATTAGATACTATTATTGTCCACAAGGAAAGATATTGTTGTATAAATATGTTATATATATATATATATAAATTACATTCATCGACGTATACAGGGTGTTTTATTTTAAATAATGCATCTAAGTACTTCGAAAATGACGACGATATTTTAGGAAATAAGTTTTAGATGAAGGTTGTACAGTTCCTAGAAGGATAGTGACTTCATTTCGAATCAAAGCCAAGTCAAAATTTAAATTTTTGAAATTATATTACATATCTTTTTGACATTTTGGCAGTCGCAACTTCTAAACTAAAACATCCCAAAAGTATCTTGTTTTCAAAATATTTAAATGCATTACTTAAAATGGGATATCCTGTATATGTATATGTAATAAATATTATCATCTTTCAATGTAAACTATCATCTTACTGAGAGAAAATTGCAATATAGCTATAAATTGTATAAAACATATTCTTTATATCAATGTAATCTGTATTATGCACTATTGTATATATATAGATGTGCCGTACGATGTAATTTGTCTTTATTATAACTTGCATTGTTGACACTGCCACATTTTTTGGCAAAATAGAGATTCAACAATTTATAGTGGATTTAGTTAATATGAATTTAAGTTTTTCTAAATGATGGAAAAATAATGTTTATAAATCTACAAAAATTAAATTTGATTGTTAATATAAAATGCTGTTTTCTTTCTTACAAAACTTGCATTATAAAATTGGAAATATCAGAGTTTGCGTGTCATATATTTTACACAATGACACAATGAAATATTATACAAACTACTCGAATCAATTATTTGTGTAAAAAAAATTATTGAAAGAAAGACAAGTGTTATTTTTATTCCATTTATTTCCATTTGCTTATTTTGCCAGATACAAGCATCTAACTTTATTTATAAAAATAGTGTGACAAATTTAAGTACAAAAATATAATAGTAACAATATATAAATTAAAAAAATTATTTCAAACTTTTTCAACTATTTTTGTTGAACCAACAAAATATAGCAATAATATATTATAGATCTCCCGACAAAATATAGTACATAATCTCTCGTAGTATAGTTGTTAATATTTTTATAAAGGCGATATATGATGTATTATATATGTTGAATTTATCATATATCATTTACAATGTTTGATTTTTAACGAGGGCACATTGCATGCCTACCTCCATCCACAGGTAATGTCGCACCTGTGATAAAACTAGCATCATTGCTTGCGAGAAATGCAATAGTCTTTGCGACCTCTGTAGCATCACCTGTCCTTCCCAGAGCATGTGTATCTTTGCTGTGTTCGAAAAAGGTCTGCAGTTGATCCTTGGTCATTCCACTGCTATGGTGAAGATTCGTTACAATGACACCAGGATTTACAGCATTCACACGCACCTAGTATATTTAAAAAATAATAACACAAGTCATAAATATATTCAACACTAATATATTTTTGTACAAACCTGCTTTGGTGCCAATTCCAGAGCGACACAATGTGTAAATTGATCCACAGCTGATTTACTCATACAGTATGCTAGGCAATTTGGAAAAGATCTCAATCCTGTTACGCTAGAAACGTTGACAATATTGCCCTTTGTTTTGATTAGATGTGGCACTGCCAGTGTTGTTAGATGATACACCGAACGAACATTTATGTTGAAGACCCTACAAAGGTATGTTTTGTATTACAAGATAAACATATTCTTAAAATTGAATCTGTTTCACTTCTAATGATACTTCCATGCATATATCAGACTACTATTATATACCTGTCATATTGTTCTAAATTTGTGGTTTCTATACTGCCACCCTCTAGAACTCCAGCATTATTAACTAAAACATCTAATTTGCCGTAATGCTTGATCGTTGAGTCAATGATATTCTCTACGTCTTTTTCGTTAGTTAATTCTCCTGTCACAATTAGAGGTTTGGACTGCCCGCATTGTTCGGCCACTTTGTTTAAATTATCCTTATTGCGCCCAGTTATCGACAATGATGCACCAAGCTGAGCCAGATGGACAGCAGTCGCAGCTCCAATTCCTGAGCTAGCTCCCGTTATCAGAACAACTTTTCCCGCAAAAGACATCTAGAACAAATTATGTTTACCTGTTAAGAGGATGCTGGAGTGCCTGACGAACTCCGACGCGAAAGCGCCATCATTTCGATGGAACTAAAAATGAGAGTGATATTATCGGCATAAGTCATAATCTAAGTATGAATGTATTGTGTATGCGTATGTGGTGCATGTATATATTTGCATATTATTGTATAGCGCCTCTCTGATATTATCCTGGAACTAATCTTCTGTTATTTTTTCATCTGTTATACCGATATTGGACGCACACGTATGTAAAAATAGTCGGACAAGAATATTTTTTACATTAGACTTTTCAGCCCAATTTTAATGGTTCCATAACATTCTATTCTGCAGTCCGCAATTCGGGCTGCTCTTACTCAGCGTCTTAAAACTGTTAAACTTTTATAAAAAACAAAAATAAATAGCTCTATACAATATGTTCTCCTAAGAGCAGAATAGAAATTAATAAATAGAAACAAATTTTGTTATTAATTCTTTTTTTTTCCAAATAAAATCGAGCAGCCCGAATTCCGTTTTTATGTATACTTTACTCCTGCAAAAGGATTTACAATTCTATGCAACCAATAAAAAGATATTCTTGTTCGAAAAAATATAATGTCCGGCCGGTAACTCCAGCATCCCCTTAAGCACTTCGGAAAATTACAGTCACGTTGTATATTGCAACTAGATGATGTCATAACAGCTGTTAGTTTTTATTTGTAATTCGTCTATCAATTATGATTTAGCTAAGCAATATCATATCCGCACGTTCTGTGTTTAAGACAAATTAACGAGTTTACATTCGGACTTTGGGACAAACAAAAAAAAAAACAAAACATAAACGTGTAGATATTGCAAGTGAAACGGATGTGTTATATCTGGTTTATGCAAAATGATAAGATTTATGTTTATTAAATATGTAAATATGTACTTACCGTGATAGAGTATGGCGATATATGCTTGACAATTAGAGCAGAAAGTGAACTTGAACGCTAAAGATTATCATATATTTCGTAATATGTAACGAACTGATTTCAAAGTCAGAGGAGATCTGCAACCGGTTTTAAAATGTGGTCATACTCAACGTGGCTTAGAACCTAATAGACTTATATAACTACCTCACTCTTTGCGATTCAGGAGTGGTGATATATATCTTATCACTTCCTCTTATCACATCGCTAGAAACTTGTATTTATTTTTTTTTAATTTTTAAGTAACTTATATTTTAATAAATAAAAAATCGATCTTTCAACCCTACTGAAAAAAATCACGTGATAAAATCAAGTGATAAAATTACATAACAAAATCACGTAATTAATGACTAAGTAAATCACGTAATGAAATGTTCCAAATCAGTACATGATTTTTGAAAATTACATGGTTTGAAAAATCACGTAATGTTAGAAAATCATGTGATTTTATAGCAATCATATTTTAAAGAGCTGAATGATAGAAATAGAAAAACGAAAAAATATACAATTTTGATTTAGATATGTTTATTAATTTTGCATGTAGTAATGGAATTACATTATGTAGTCTCGATAAATGTAGCAATAAAATTACATTGTGATATCTTAATTATATGAAAACATTTTTTTTTAATAAAACTATTTTGCATATAAAAACTAAAAACATACAAAAAATTCAGGCGTTTAAGCCAGAATTGCGTGTATTCTCTATTGAAAATACCCGTTAAATTGTTTAATTGCATAATTAATAACGTTATTTTCAAGAGTTTTCATCAGTTTTCATCAGTTAAATCGCATAACGAAATCATGTAATTTTATCACGAAGAATTTAGAAACATTTTATTAAATAACAAAAAGGCCTCCAAACATGTAATCTGTTACTTAAATTATCGCCATTTGTTTATAACATCATAATTCTCATTTATACGTAAAAAACGATTAATAAAAATACAGATTCGGCACTGGACATATATACATTATGTTATCTATATTCATAAAAACGCAAACTCTTTCAATGCTGTTAGTGTCTTTTATTATTAAATTATCAGAAATATTTACAACTTTTTTCAATGGTAAAGAATTGTTATTAAAAATATCTTCTTTAATCACTAAATGACAGATAGTGTACTCTTTCCTTGTTGGAATATCGATAATAAATTCTATAATGCGAATAAAATCTCCTTCTGTTGTTACAGCATACGAATTATCTGATCGAATCATATTTCTTCTTGATGATGTGTACAAACATCGTTCTTTTACCATTTTACGATATGTTCGACTTTCATCTGATAATTCAAGTTCTTCTTTCCACATTAAACTAGTTTTATAATGTGGTCCAAAGTATCTTGCATGCGATAATTTACATGTTTGTTTTGCGTTTTTTTTGTCCAGATAAGAAATAAAACTACTTACATTTGAAAACGCTTTCAAAGCAATATGTTTCTTTAAAATCAATTCACTTTGACTCATTGCTATCGATCTGCAAATTTGATGTACAACGCCCTTAGCACCATGCACTTTTCGAACTATTTGACCATTTCCATTTTCAAAACAATAGCCAGAATGAGCCCAAAGTGGGCCCCAATCTGCTACACTTTGTGCCAAATGCAATAAGTTGATGGATGTTGTACGTCATAGCAGCTTTGAAATAATAGTGTTCGGTGTAATCAACAAATTTTGTTAATAAAGTATGAGCATGATTGACTTCGTTACGTGTAATACTTTTCTTAATAAAATATGGAATGCTTCTACTAGAAGTGACCAATGCTTTATCCATATTTCTAAATGTGGAAAACATAGTAAAATCGGTAAACTATAGTAAAGAATCCAATTCTCCCACTCTCTTGCTTTCCAATATTTTCTATCTCGTATGGAACGAGATAAACGAACAATTTGATTGGGAGCTTTTATTGTTAATAACAAGTTGTCAATTTTATTAATATCATTATTGGATAAAGAATATGGCAAGTTGTTTGATTCGATCCAATACCCTACAAATTGTTCCGCTATTCCCAAACAAAGACAATGCATACTATCTGGTACAAAACCAGATATAATGTTAAAACCTTGCAAATTAATTAAACATGAAGGATTTTTTACACCATAAACGGGTTTTCGGGATGTAAGACTCAGTCGCATGTGCTCGATTGTTTCATTTTCAGTTCTTTTAGGCGGTACTTCATTCATTAAAGTATATTTTACACTTCCACCTCTCTTGTAAACAACATAATATCCTGGATGTAAGCACCAACTGCATCCGAAATAGCCATTATACTGAACTATACCCTGCATCGGTGCACGAGCAACAGAGTCTACGCAGCAACATAAGGTGAATACTTTAATAATACGTACTTCATTCGCAATAGTACATCGTACACCATTATTTGACAATTTGTTCATGTGAACAACGTACGGTTTTAAAAAAATATTCATATTTGGTTTATCTTTACCAAACCATATGCCGCACACTATAGGTCTAGAAGTTCTTACATCCAAAGGCAATTCATTTATAATCATTTGAATCGGCCAAATAGAAAATCTAGAACTTTCGAAAATTGGGGATCCATCACTGTTCATTGTAGTTGTAGCAAAATTAAGTTTATCATGTATTGACAATGAGTCAACAAATTCTTTGTATAATATTCCATCTGTAATGTCATCGAATTTTTCATTATTTCGCACTTTTTTCGCGCACTACATAATCATAATATTTTTGATTATCTTGAATTAAATTTGCAATTTCGTTATTTACATTAATAATAGCAAAAAAGTCATTATATGTTGTATCTTTCAATGCAATTACAGTATCGCATGTTTGACTATTCAACGCGATGATTCTTTGCGATCAAACACTGCTACATATTTTTTAGCAATTTGGACAAACTGCATGATATTCTATGACTGTTTCTGGATTGAACATTTGATCAACAAGATAGCGCGTACTAGGTAATAAAGAAAAATTAAAAAAACAATTTAACATTTTAAAAAGATCAGCTAATGCACTTTGTGATAAACAATACGTAAGCCCATACTTCAAAACTGCAAGTAAAATTTCAGCTTTACTTACAACTACTTGAGCATTAATAGTCTCATTATTATCTTCATTTTGCATCATTTCTGTTAATCTACTAAAACCAATATTTTCACTATTGATATCTTCAGAGTTGACTTCTTCGTGAATATCTTCGTTATCGCTATCATCTTCATCGCTACATTGAAATAATTCTTCATGTGCATCGTAATACCATGAATCCTGTGGATATAAATGATGTTCATTATAGAGTTTTAAAAAATGATTTATAAAAATACTTGTAATTTTTAAAATTTTTGAGAGAGAAAATACAGAATTAGAATAATATCTTATACATATTAATAAATTAACTTTACTTTTCTTAAAGATCAGACGGATATAAAAAAATAAAAAGAAATTGATGTGTTATTGATGTAAATTACATACATATTGTGAATTATATGAAATTAAAAAATATAATCTTACACGAAAATTTTCATTCTCAGAATCTGATAAGCCATACAGTTCATTCGTGTCATTTATTGAAATCTGAGATACATCTACCATCT